TATCATAGCTCACTGCAGCCTCAAAGCCCTGGACTCAAGTGATCCTCCTGTCTCAGACTCCTGAGTTGCTGGACCATAGACATGTGCCATGGTGCCCTCCTTGAGTTCACACTTCGCTCCATACCCTCTGTGTCAGCTCCAAGTAAGAGTCCTATAGTTTCCTCAAACTTGGCCCTTCAGTTCTGCCTATTGCCCATCACCATTCTCCCTGACCCTAAAGCAAGAAATTTAAAATATTTCCCCCTTCTCTCACATTGGTAGCTAGATCTAGCAGCTGTCTGTTTAGTTACACTATCCCAAATTATTCATTCCTCATTATAGCGAAGTCCTGAGTTCCAGTCTCCTGGCAGTTCTAAGTCTGGATTAGATTTTCTTTGTTTTCACTTTACTCATCTCTGCCCTCTCTCTACTCAGCTACCTCACTCAAAATAAGGGAACTTCATATGCTCAATAATTCTGCTGTGTCACAATGTGCCAGCCCTCTCTCATCACCTTAAGGGTTGCTGACCTCATCTGTAACCAACTGACTCTTTTTTTCTCCCTCAGTTCTTTAATCTGAACCTCTCTTTCCAGTCAAAGGTTTTTCTTATGGGAGATTTTAGTTAAAATGTTGGTTAAAGGGAAAGAAGCTCCCGAACTATCACAGAGTAATTACTCTTAATATCTACAAGTTTATTTTAACAAAAGGTATCTTGCAAATTCTACTCCAAGCGAATGAGACCTCTCTCAGGCACCATTTTAACCAGTCCAAGATTCCACCACCAAAACAAAAAACATATTAAGGCAGCACAACTGCTCCTAATTCCTAGAGCAAAAGGTCTAACCAACAGGAGCAGGAGGGTATGAGAACAAAATTGGTAATCCTATAAAATAAATAAAGGTTGCATTTGTTTAGAGAAGTGTTTAACCAATGCAGAATCTGGGTCCCAAATTTAGTCTTCTAAACAGAAACATGTATAAAGGACTTTAGTCATTTGATTCTGAGGATTTCTGATGGAATTTACCTTTTTCCCAATTAACATAACCCGGCAACCATCTTGTATTCCAAGTGCTGACAATGGTGACTCCATTTCCTTCAGAGATTTTCCTAAAAGGAAGAGAAAGGTAGGCCAAGTTGTAATAATTGTACAACACTAAAAATAATTTCAGCAGGAATACAGAAAATAGACAAGTGTGTTCACTAATGAGAACTGGTATCTTTTTAGAAGGTATCTTGACCCAGTAATTTCAGCTCTAGATATTTATCCTAAACAAATAATTGGACATGCATCTACACAGTAACTACTATACAATAATATTCAGTGCAACCTTTTCATAATAGCGAGAAACTAGAAAGAGCCAAATATTCAGGAACCAGGGGCTGATGAACCATACTACAGAAGACTTTGGCCGGGTGCAGTAGCTCACACTTGTAATCCCAGCACTTTGGGAGGTCAAGGTGGGCGGATCACCTGAGGTCAGGAGTTCAAGAATAGCCTAGCCAACATGGCAAAACCCAGTCTCTACCAAAAATACAAAAATTAGCCGGGTGTGGTGTCACACACCTATAGTCCCAGCTACTTGGGAGGCTGAGGACCCGGGAGGTGGAGGTTGCAGTGAGCCGAGATCGTACCACTGCACTCCAGCCTGGATAACAGAATGAGACTCCATCTCAAAAAAACAAAAAGCAAAAAACAAAAAAGGCTTTGTAGGCATTAAAGCTCATTTTTTGCAAGAAACTTGAATGCCACAATGAATGCTGATGACACACTGTTATTATGAGGGGTTTTATCCATGGGAACATTTTCTTCCTCATGCTTTTCTCTATTTTGAAACATGAATTTCTATTGTCAATTCAGAAACAAAATATTTTTTAAAATTAAAGACAATTAAGTTACACTACGAAATATAAGTAAAAATGCCTCCTATTACTAAATTATTTATAATAACTGATATCCAATGGGATAAGTCTTTCCTCAGTAGATACCAGAATAATGGATTCTCAGCCAGGCGTGATGGTTCACGCCTGTAATCCTAGCACTTTGGGAGGCCGAGGTGGGCAGATCACAAGGTCAGTAGTTCAAGACCAGCCTGACCAACATGGTAAAACCCCCCTCTACTAAAAATACAAAAATTAGTCCGGTATGGTGGCACACGCCTGTAATCCCAGCTACTCAGGAGGCTGAGGCAGGAGAATCACTTGAACCTGGGAGGCAGAGGTTGCAGTGAGCTGAGATTATGCCACTCATTGCACTCTAGCCTGGGTGATGGAGCAAGACTCTATCTCAAAAAAATAAATAAAATAATAAATTATCATGGGAGTGGGAAGACAGAGGACAGGGGTCAGGATGGTGTGGGTCCTGGCAGAAATTAGCATCATCCACTGAGCCTGCCACAACCAGGCCCCTGGTAAGTTTGTTCAAAACCTCCTTTGAGTCAGAACAATGTGAAGCACTGGAAACACAGCAGTATCTCCACCCTCACAGATGCTGTTATTCTAACAGAAATCATAAAAAAATGATTATCTAATAGTAATTTCATAGAACTGATGCAGAAATAGCAGGGAGTACCATGGTAACATATAATGGGGAGATGATCTAACCTAGCCAGGGAAGACTGCCCAGGAGCTTCATCAAAAATGGTGAGATTTCTGTCATCATCCTAAGACTTCAAATCTGATACCTGTCCAGGTATTTGAAAGTGTCCGTTACCTAGCAGGTCTTCAATAAATATTTGTTGAAGAACTCAATGAATAAACAAATAAGTAAAAATTGTCCCAGTTTGAAAACAGAGTGACTATTAGGAAAAGTTAAGCAGATTTAAAACTGTCCTTTGGCCATAAGGAAAAGATGGAAGAGAAATGCCTACCCTTAAATATGAGTTTCTGAAAAGACAGTGGAACCCCTGTGGCCTCTTCAACAACCTGGGCCAGGTCTTGGACAAGTGGTTCACTGCTGCCCTGCTGTGGGGTAACATGAAGGTCGTGCTTCTCATTACCTGGGGAGAAAGAAAAGCACTGGATGAAGATGACACTTTATTATATTTATTTACCCAGCCTTCAAGGCCCAGCTCATATGCCACCTACTCCACAGAGCCTGACCCCATACCACCCAGCTTTCCTCTGGTGACCTCCTTAAGGATTTCTGTTTCTTCTATCATAATAACTAAACAATATGAATGATGTCAGCTAACATTTTAAGCACTTATGTATAAAGGGCTGTTTAGATTCATTTCATGTATAATCTAATTTAATCCTCAGAAAAAACCCACGACGTAGGTCTACCTGTTACTCCTTATTTCACAGATGGGCAAACTGTGACTTCAGGCAAGTTCAGGCCTGCCTATGGAGACCCAACTGTTAGAGTTAGAGCTTGACATCAGATCTAGCTGATTTCCAAGCCCAACCTTTTTGTCACAAGCCATCTGCTTCCTGTGGCCTGACTACGCTGTACCCTGTATTGTATTGGTTTTCATCTCACTTGCTATCATGGGCAAGTGACTGTTCTTCTCCCACTGGACACGCTTGAGTGCACCCATGACTGGTGCTACGTAAACGGATAAATAAAAACAAACAGCAGAGACTTTCTTTCTCGAAGAAGAGATGCCAATTCTTTTCCAGGGATGTGGACAATAAGGAGGGAGCCTGTGTCCAGTACATTACACCAAGCTTTGATTCCCCCAACAGTTCCATGAGGTCAGCAAAAGCCAGGGTTACCAAATTTACTTCACAGAGTAGAAACCAGATTCTTAGAAAGAAGACATTCATCCATCTCAAGGTCACTCAAAACTGCAGGATCTAGATAGAATCTGGGTCTCCAGATTCCCAGACCCTTGGGTCTCCTCTAGCTGGTTTTGGGGAAACCTCATGGACTCAGTTCTCCGGTGTACTGACTTCATTTGGTTGTGTCAACTCCAACAAGTAGGCAGACCCAAAGGGTGTCCAGAATACAAAGCTTGGACCCACAGCCCACTCAAGCTGCACACACGGAGAAGGCACTCAGCAGATGAGGAGCACCCTGCCAGGCTCATCACACACCGAGCAGTCGTAGACCACATGGCCAAATATATGCCTGACACAAAGACCACAATAACTGCGCGGGCACACAAACACAAGCAGGCCCACCACGTAAAGCACGGAGAAGTTCGAACACCCAGGATCGCACAAATGGCCAGAGACAAAATACACCCGCCACATGCAAAAGAGTGCAGACACAAGCCCGGGACAAAAGGCAGTCCCACGGACACAACCAAGAACCCACGCTGCCGGACAGCAGGACAAACCAAGGACAAACGCTTCTGGAGGACACGTGGCAAATCCACAGACCCCGCCCGGCTTTCGGGGCCAGCACGGAGCCCACCCAGCGCCTGGCACTCACTGTGGGTGACAGTCACGGTGAGCCCAGCTGTCGCCATTTCCTCCCTGGTCACCTCCTCGCTCGGGGTCGCCTCCTCGTCCCTGGTGACCTCCTGGCTCCGACTCATCTCTTCGCCCAGGGTCGCCTCCTCACTTTGGGTCGCCTCGCTACCGGTCGCCTCCTCACTCAGGGTCAGCTCCTCGCTCCGGGCCGAGCGGCACCGGGTTTTCTTCTTCATCCGCGGCCTGCGAGCGCCGGCGGCGGCGCCCCTGGTGGGTCGGTCATGCCCGCCGGCTGCACCCCGGACAGATGGACGCCGAGAGGGAGGTGGGCCGTGCTGGGCCGGGGGCTCCGACTGGCGCGACTCCCGGCCTGGCCGAGGGGCGCGCAGCCGGAAGCCCAGCCGCTCCTGGTCGCCTCGCGGTCTCCGCGCCCCGCCGCGCGCAGCCAGGCCCACGCTTGTTGACCGCCCAGCGGTGGTAGCTGAGCGCCGCTTCTTGCAACCCAGCCCGGCTACTTCCCGTCTCCGCCCTATTTCTGCCGGCCCCGCCCCCTCCCCGCCCTATTCCGCTATAGTTGCCTCCAGGCCCCACCCACTCGGCTGAGGCCCCGCCTTTCTCTGGTGAAACCCCTCCCACTCCTTCCACCAACACCCCGCCCCCTGCAGGCTCTCTCCGGGTGCACCGAGTCGTTTAGCGTTCTTTCCCGGGAAGACCTGACTGAAAATCTGGAAAAAGGATCGGGAAACTACTGGAGGCATATTGCGCTTGCGCACGAGGGTGGGGCCGGAAGTCGAGGCGGAGTGACTCTGCTTCCGCCTCTGGTTTTGCTCCAGTGTTTGGGTTTCTTCGCGGCCGCTCGAGATGAACCGATTCTTCGGGAAAGCGAAACCCAAGGCTCCGCCGCCCAGCCTGACTGACTGCATTGGCACGGTGGGCATTTGACCATGCATAGAAGTAGGCTCAGGACCTCTGACACACCCGACCCCGCCCACCCCCGGCCCCAGGCCCCTATTCCTCCACTTCATTCCTGCTCCTGGGCCCCTTACACGGCGGCCCTTTCAATCCCATCTTCTCTCCTTCATCCCTGTTACCCAAGTCATTCCTAACGCCACAAACCAGGGACCCCCTAACCCTATCACTGCCTTGTCCTACCTACACCCAACGCGTTTTGATGCCCATTGTCCGTCCACTCGCTCTCACCTTGATCCTCTCACCTCACCCAGCCCTAGGCCCACATACCCTTCCCACCTCGTTCTGCCTGATCCCTTACCCTTCTTTCAGCTGTCATCCCCAGCTCACATCAGGACTCAGCTTGATACCTTAGGTCAACATGTCGGTACCTCAACCCTGGATCTCAGTAACACAAAACTCAGAATCCTGACCCCTCAGATTAAACCACCATCCCCGATCTAGAAAATGGCATTAGATCTACAATCAGCTGGTATCCACTGGGCACTGGCCCATTTCACGCGCCTCTTGGATGAGCTCTCAGCCTGGCTAGTCTCTGATTCCAGGGAAATTCCAACTCAGCCCAGTGATTCTCAAATTATTATCTGCCCCAACCCACTTGAGGGCTAGCTGGTATATCAGAAATGGGGCAGTATGGCAGGGAAGGTCAGAGTATAATTTATGAAAGCCCAGGGTTTCTGGTTGGGAATACCCCTCTTTGCTAACCACTGCTTTTCACCCTTCCCCATAAGCTGCTTTTTTTCTTTTCTTCCTCTATATTCCTTCCTCTCTACCTGCCCCTTCTGAAATAAGTGTATTGCAGTAACTACCAGTGCATTTGATGTTTTCCTCCAAGGTGGACAGCAGGGCAGAATCCATTGACAAGAAGATTTCTCGATTGGATGCTGATCTAGTAAAGTACAAGGATCAGATCAAGAAGATGAGAGAGGGTCCTGCAAAGGTAATGTAGGCAGCAATTGCTGCACAAGGTGCTGGCACAGCCTAGTTTTAACACCTATAGAAATAGAGCCTAGTGTAGAGGCTGTGAGCATCCCTACTGAAGAGATGCTTACAATCTGGTAAGGAGAAAACGTGAGGGTGTTTCCTTTAGGGAGGACAGTTTGCAACCAAATATGGATGGGAGGCTGGGGGTTGATGTTGTGGAAAGAGATGCTGGTCACATGTCAAGAAGCATGTATATGAGAATTAGCCCATTATACTGAGAAGGTAGTGATCTGGAGAGGAGGACTAGGCTGTGCTCAGGATCAGTGACTTGCCAAGCTGGTCAGATTAGGTTGGTATATTAGACTGCTTAAGGAGTGGCCTGCTGGGAAAAACTGAACTAGGCATCTGGAACCCGTGTTCTAATAGTAACACTGTCATTGCCTAGTAGTTTTGATCTTGATAAAGTCACTTATTTTCCACTCCTGTTAGGTAGGAACATAAAATACTGTGTTTAAGCACGTGGACTGTGGATATAGAACTACCTTGTTTTCTCCAGGTCCATAAGTTATTACCCACGTGAGCCTGGGTAATATCACTGAACCTCTGTTTTCCCATATGTACAACAGAGATAATACCTGCCTTACAGTGTGAGGATTAAATGAGTTAATTGATGTGACCTGCATAGCACTACATCTAGTACACAGTAGCACTCAGTAAATGTGAATTATGATCATCTGTGAAGTAATATCTATTTTTCCTTCCTCATTGGAGAAGACAAGTAAAATGATCTACAGAATTCTATAGAAAAGAAAGGCCTTTCCCATCCCAGCCACCTTAGTGGATGGTGTGGAATGAAGAACCACCAGAGGCAGGAAAGCCCATGTAGACTTGAGACAATGAAAGCCCAAACCATGGTGATAGGAAACCAAAGAATCAGTTTGAAAGTGAATTCTGAAATCAGTTAACAGGAAGACTGTGCATGAAGAAAGAACAAAAAGGTGAAAGATAAGGTTGATACAAAGGTTTTCAACCTGGAGAGGTGAGAGATTGGTGGGGCTATTGTTACTTATTTCCAAGGTGAGGTAAGGTTTAGGAGTTAGGAATTGTTGAGGTTAAGTTGATAGGCTATACAAATGATGACTCTCCCTAAGGCAACTAGATATACAGAATCAGCATTTTGGGGGCTAGAGGTGGAGATAATATGCATTAGAAAAAGGGAAAGTAGTTCAGGACTCTGGGATGTGGGATGCAAAGACAGATAGGAGCTAAGGCTTAAAGACTAGACCTTAGAGATACCTGCCTTTGGGAGGGGAAGAACAGAATCCAGGAGCCATTATGTCTACTATTTTGAAGAAAAGAGGAAATAGGCATGTGAGTTTGAGGCTATGGGAAATTTCTTTTACTGTATGTGTGTTTTCCACTTTATTTTTATTAAATCTTTTTCTTTCCAGAATATGGTCAAGCAGAAAGCATTGCGAGTTTTAAAGCAAAAGCGGATGTAAGTTACATACACAATCTCTTTCCCTCTAGCAGGTTTAACTAAAAGGGAAATGGTCTTCCATTCCTTCATGTTTTCATACTATTTTCTAAGCACTCTTGATGTAATTACGAATTTTCATTGACGTGCAATTAAATACAGTTAGCTGGGTTCTTCCCCACTATGTGTTCAGCAATGTCTGTTGTAGCAACTTCCATCTAAATAGAACTTTTTCTGTTGTGATGGAGAAGTTCTATATCTGTGTGTTCAATATAGTAGCTGTTAGCCACATGTGGTTATTGAGCACTTGAAATGTGGCTAGTGTGACTAAGGAATTGAAGTTTAAATTTTAGGCAATTTAAATAACCTAAGTAGCTTTATATGGTTAGTGACTACTGTTTTGAACTGACCAGATCCATAGGGTTGGTTTTCCTATTATTTATTTTCGAGTGTGCCTTTTTTGTTTTTGTTTGTAAAGTTAGGAATCCTAAATGTTTGTTTCCTCCCATCATAATAAATTTTAAGATCCTTAATTTGTTTTAGGTGACTATGTCCCAATTTTGAGCACAAGCTAACGTATCTTTGGTGCCTACCTCTGTGGACTGTTCAGCTGATGTGATCCTCTACAGGGTTTTGGAGGTTAGGTGTAATTTGCTATTAAGGAACTAGAAAGATTATCAATATCTGTCTTCCTATTTTTAAATGACTTTTTATAGGATACCAGACACCATCTTCCTCCTTTTAAATTAGATCAAATTGGAAAAAGGAATTGTAATGCCTATACTGGTGGGAATGTCGTGAAGTGATTTACCTTCTTAATTGGTAGCATTGCTAGTTTTAAGTAACCTTTTTTGCTATAAAAAGAATACAGGTTCATTGTAGAAACTTGGAAAATACATAAATATGAACAGAAGAAAATAAAATTGACCTAGATTCTTACTACTAGAAATAACCACCTTCAAAATGCTAATTTCTTCCAGTTTCTTTTCTCTGCCTCTGCATATGTGGTATGTGTCCATATAACTTTTTAGAAGAAAACTGAAATTGTAGTGTGTATATGTAGGTTATCCTTTTCCACTTAATGTTATATCATGAGTATTTCCCTGTTCTTTTAAATATTCTTTGGAAATTTTATTTTATTTTATTTTATTTATTTATTTTTTTTTTTTTCTGAGACGGAGTTTCGCTCTTGTTACCCAGGCTGGAGTGCAATGGCGCGATCTCGGCTCACCGCAACCTCCGCCTCCTGGGTTCAGGCAATTCTCCTGCCTCAGCCTCCTG